TTACATACAAAATAGAACTTTTAAATAGTTGATTTTATCAACATTGATGTATATATATTTTTTAATTTTATGATATTTTCAAATTTATATTTTATTCAAAAATAAAATCATTATTGCTTTCTTAAAAACACATAAAATCGTATTATAATATTAACAAAAACAAAGAATAAAATAGAATATTAAAATTGAGATGTATCTCGCTGCATTACGCGAATATCTTTCTAGTCTTGCTAAGTAAGCATGACGAGAACATGAATCTTACCTGGTAAAAAGCATAACAACAACCAAAAATCTTATCTACTAAATAAAGGAAAAAACTTTTACCCGTTAAGCAATTACCGACAATTCAATTTGATGACCGATAATATTATAACCGATACAATAAGTGAATGTGGTGATTACTGGTAAAAGCTTACGAGATAATCGTTTGGTAAACCGACTCCGTACAATGATCTATAAATCACCAAGCCATACATCAAACTAGAATGAAGGTTCAAATGATATGGATTACAAAAGGTTGAAAAGATGAATGAAAATAGAAAGATCAAAGTATATATATCTACTTTTCCTCTAATTCTGCTAATTATTCCGCCAAATGCTCTACAACAAAATTTCAATTCAAACAACAACACACACATAATATCATCATCATCATCAATCATCATCATATGTGTATATCAAACACAAAATGAATTAGAGGGAAAAAGGGGATGGTGCAGCACTAAACAGACGAGATGCTTCACTACCCACCGGACCAGAAGCAGCACCAGAGCTTAGAAGATCGATCATGGCACAATCAGGATTGCTACGCTGTTGCTCGCACAGATCCGGCAATGATACGCCTAAAACCATACAGAGATAGATATATACATATATGTATGTATGTATACAATTTGAAATTGAAAACTAAAAAAAATGGTGGAAAAAACTGTGTGTAGATCTGACGTGTTTTGGAGTTAAAATTGGGGGAAAATCGATTTACCTTCACCGACGGCCAAATTGAAGTGAAGATCGACGATGTTAGGGCATTTCTGGTAACACGGTGGTGAGCAGAGAGTAACGATTGAGTTTTTATCAAGCAACGAATCGGAGGAAATTCCGGTGGCGTTTCTATCAACACCGCAAGCCCTAACACATTCATCAGTCTCGATGTGATTCCACATCATCTCCACCACCACTTCCGACGTCCGGCATTGATACTCCACTTTTCCTTTCTTATCCTCGAAATCCTCCAACACGCATCTCTTTCCGGTATACGAAATAGCAAAGGAACAATTATCCTTGGTCAAATCCTCACATATAATCTCACCTACAGATTTCACCAACAACCAGTGAATTAATGTGGCCACAAAAAAGAATTAGATGTAAAATTGATGAAGCGGTAAATTGCATACATACATACCATGAATGGTGGTTCCATGGAGGAAGAGAGAGGAAGCTGCAAAGAGGAGAACCAGAGAAAACGTCATTGGAGAAATTGAATGGAGAAGACGAATTGAATTATTGTGAGGATGAAAGTGGATGGTTTTCTTATGAGAAAAGAGAGAGAAAAATGGGCGGTCACTGCTACATATAGCGGTTCCCTTTACAAAAATAGAAACACCTCCCTCTCATTTCATGCATGCACCAACTTCAAATCTTCATTACACGTGTCTCTTTTTCTTTCTAGAGTTATTTGCAGATTTGGTCCCTGTGGTTCGTATTGTTTACGAAAATGTCCCTAAATTTCATATGTTACAGATTAAGACTGACGTATGTGATTTCGTAACTAGTTATTCCCTCACTTTCAAAACATCCGTTAACTATGAGGGTTTTTTTGTATAATCCCCAAAACTTTAGGGACCGCTACGTAATAATCTCTCTCTTATCCCTATCTCTTCACGACCAGCACATGACCCCCACCCAGCTCCGACGAACCACACCATCATCATTCACTATACCTTTCTCTCTCCGGTGATCACCACCAGCTTCTGTCTCGTCTTTTGAACCCCCTCACGACAGGTCTGCTTTCACGGCCTCCATCTCAGGCGAGATTCCCATCAGTCGGTCGCCGCTACCAATCTGCGACTCATACACACACACACATAGAGAGCACACACACCCAACTCGATCCGATCTCCATCGGCATCTCCGGTCTTCAGTGAAATCCTCCACACCCACTTCTCCATCTCTGAGAGATTGTGTATACTATGTGTGTATTGGGTATGTTTGTATATATGTCGAGTATATTTGTGTCTGTGTTTCGTGTATGTATTAACAGTTGGTGATGGGTTACGAAGGTGGTTGTCACAGGGGAGGTCGCAACGATGGCTGTCATCGGGGGAGGTCACTAGTGGGATGGAGTGGGTTCATGTTCCAACGGGAAAGAGAGAGGTATAGAGGGGGTTCATTGGACGCACAGGGATGACGGAGGGAGGGGGTTCACCGGAGTAAAACGAGAGGGACGACGTCTCTGATCGTGGATATATATGTGTGTGTGTGTGTATTAGAGTTATTCATGGTGTCCTTGTAATTTAGGGGTTTTTACAAAAATTTGAAAAAAACCAAAAACAAAAATAACAAAAACAGAAATAAATTAATGTTAAAAAGGTGAAAATAGTAAAATAACGTAACTGCGGTTAATTCTAACAGATGTTTTGGATGGTCGGTAGAGTGAGGCGCATCCACTCATTACAAAATAACATATAACGAGTCATAATCTATAATAAATAAAGTTTAGGAGCTATTTTTGTAAAAATCATCAAACCAAAGAGATCAAATCCGTAATTAACTCTTATTTTATTATATCTAAGTTTATAATCAGATATACTTGAATCAGATAAAATTCCCTTTTATAGAAATTGGGTTTGACCCATAACACATGATCATAAAGTGAAGATGCTTGAACCAAGATTTCTTAATGTATTAACTTTTTGGTCTCAAAATAAGTGTTTATATTTTTACTTATTTTATCTTAAAATACACTAACTATATTTCTAAAGTAAATGTTTATTTTTCCATTATACTATTAGTTATGAGATGAAGAAAGTTTCTTTCTTTATTATAAAAGATAAAATTGTCATTTAGTTAATTAAAAGTGTAATAATTATACATTTTTAAATGATATGCCTTTTTCATTGTAGACACTTACTTTGGGACGAATGGATTATGGAAATATCAAAGTTACTTTGACCATTATTCGCTAATCTTTTTATTCTTTCAAAATGTACATCTGATTTGTAACTAATTGAAACTTGTTTGAGGGGTTGTTTGTTTACATTTTATTAGTTCCATTAAGAAGCAACATCTAAATTATTAAGAAATGAATTTTGTTTGATAAAAAAAAAAGTTTGTCTCATAATGATTCTAAAACTCTCTGAATGATTTTGTTTCATGGATCTCCCTTAACCATTATTAAGAGCCCTAATTTTATTGTATACAATTACTAAATAATTATATTTAATTTTACACTATATCAGGAGAACCTCTTAATCATCCTGATCACTCAATCATTTTATACCAAATCATTTAGTAATTGCCAAACAACCCCTGAGTCTATATGTTTTGTATGAAACAAGTAGGAAACGGAAATTTACTTTTCTAGCATCTATTCGTTTTTACTTAATGAGAATAGTGACTTATTTGCTGAGTCATTAAGCATTATTTGTTTTTTCTTTTTGTATAATTTTTAAGCAATGTGTAAAAATGACTAAACCAGAAAAGTCATAATGTATATGTTGTTCATTTCATATTAAGTCATTTTGTTGCAGACATGTTCTAACAGAAAAAACGAATAAACAATGTCTTACTAAATAAGACACTTAATTTTATTACATTATTGAAAATAAATCACCAATAATGGTTAAAATTATTGAAAATTAGGAAAATTACACTACGGGGCCGTTTATCAAATACTTATCCGGTAAGTGCTAATCAATAAAATTTAGCACTATTATTTACTAACTGGGTAAGATTTTAGTCCAGCAAAACGATATCGCATGCAAAAATTTACCCGGTAATTAAGTGCTTACCATGATAAGAGTCGTCGCCCTCACTTACCGCCGGTAAGACTCTTGGTCCTTGTCTCGCTCTTTCCAGGTAAGATTTTTGGTTCTTATCATATTCATCCGGTGAGGTAACATAACTTGGAAAGCACTTACCTGAATAAACGTTTGGTAAACGGTTCTAAATAACAACTTTGGTTGGTTTTATTTTCTTTCGTATCATTATTTCACTTCACATAGCAGCAAGGGATGTAAGATTTTGTACCAGAATATGCACTGTCAATGTCATTACAAGATGTGGTGGATTTTCGTGAATTTTTAATTTAATAATTTATTGATTATCTTAAATATAAAGTATTGAGAGTTTTGATTTGAACGAGTTTAGGTATGACTTTAATAAATTGTACCATTAGCAATAAAGGTTGTCTTTAAGTAATTTGACATTAATTGGTAGAAATATATGCTTAAAAAGTTGTTTTTAAAAGTTTTAGCCAAATGTTTTATAAGATAATATAGATTATAAAATGTACATACATTTAAGAATTTATTAAACATTTAAAACATTATATACTTGATAAAAATATAAAACTATTTATGCATAGTATAAGCAAATCAATCGTCACCATCACCATCACCGTCACCGTCATCATCACCATCACCATCAAACTACTAAAAACATGTACAATAGTCAAACATAAAACTAAAACAAATTAAAAAAAACGATGGACATATGCTGCACGACAACGACTGTCGGCGAGGGGTGGTACAATGTTTGACAAAAGAAGCAAGGAGGCATAGGATGGTCGGGCATCAATAACACCATGGTGAAGGCGATGGCAAGAGAAAGTGATGTCGTTTTTGAGGCAAAATAACAAGAAAAAGACCAAATTAATAAATAAAATATTCATTTTCTTAATTATTACGGTACTGTTGTATCTGTCCTACTAGTCTCAAAATTTGCTTACTTGCTATTGAATTCGTCTAATGGTTATGGATATTCATTTTGAGCTCCATTTTCACTCGTTTTACCTCTTTTTTCTTTGTTCTTTTTGCAATAATCTCTTGGTAACATTTTACCAACATTTTGACATAAAAAACTCAATTTTTCGGTAAGTAATGAGTTCCATTTTCTTATTTACAGTTTTGTTTTTAAAATTAAAATTCAACAACTTCAAGACATAAAAATCGAACCATGTAAACACAAATCTGAAACATGAGGCTATTGGTGTTTGATAGAGTACCTAAAAACGAAGCCATAGACATAAAACCATGAGATTTAGTTAAGAATCTCTCCCAAAATCGGTGAAAACCCGAGATTTTTCAATTCGAACTTCAAACTCAGATTTCTCTTTCAATATTTGCTTATTCATAGAACTATTTGAATAAAAATAATCTTAAGTCAGTTCTTTACATTTATATGCAAGAGTTTTGGCTTATTAGTTGACAAAATTAGACCAAAGCAAGAGTTTTTAGCTGGTGGGTCATTTTTCTCTAAACATACATGTACTGTTGGCAAAACAGGTCTTTCATCTTTAAAAAAGATGATATTCGGCCACCTGAACTTTCTGACATTTACAACCGGACCCCTCCTGACATGATAATTTACATTTTTGGACCAAAACAAATTAAAACCTTTAATACTTTAATTAAGTGACAGATTTGGCCCTCTAAACTCATTCATTTACATTTTTGGCCCAATAAAATAAAAAAACAATTTTATTTTATTTTTTCTTTTGTCTTTCTTTTCATTATTTTTTATTTTAAGATTTCTACAATTATTTATTTCAAGTAATCACATAAATAGTTTAATACTTCAACTTGTAATCCTTGGCCTCCTAGGAGGTCAGAGGTTCAAATATCACCAAATGTGAGAAGTGTGTGCGAGTTTATTTGTTACATTTGCCGTATATAAATATTATATATATAAAAAAAATCTTTAAGCCCAAATCCTTGTCAAAATTAGCATATATTCTGAAGCCTAAGCGTGTTATATTCTCTTCTCATGTTTGAAGTCGAAATCTTGAATACTCATGTATATAGATTTTTTTATGACGAATAGCGTGATCCAATTCTCTCGTGTGGATGCTATGGAGGCAACAAGCGGACGATTGTTGCTTGGATTCATAAAAGGTTGCTGCTCATTGGTAAACTTCAAAACACACATCCTATTCTTTAGTATGGATTCTTGTAAGAATAAGGTTAATTTCTACTGAATGTACGGTTGCCGTATTCTAATAAACTCTGTACGAATGTTGTTGAAAAAACGGAAGAAATCATAAACACACTTGTTTATGGAATTCATAACAAATTGTTCCTTTTATCGAAATAAGGCTTACAATATGTGTTTCAGAAAGCGTGAGTGTAATAGACATCTCTGTGAAACAGACATCTGATTTTGGTTAAAAGTAGGTCAAAATCGAAAAATCTTTGAAGCTGGTCTTATTTTATTAAACTCGTATAAACTCGATTATAACTCTGATTGAAGAAATCATTGGTTTTTGTAATGTATTTGGTAACATGTGCATCAGGAACAATTATTTATGTTATGCATGAAAATTGTTTTGATATGCGTATGGTTTCACCAACCATACGTTTATTAGATGAAAGAAGGTTTAAATTTGTATTAACTGATTTAAATTTAGAAAATCGTTAATTTTTCAATCCTTGCAGTAGTTCCCCCAAAGTTGTACTAACACAATATATGAATCTATGTTGCATGAAACCCTTATGAGATTGTGAAATGACCAACAAGATGGTTAAATTAAAAGCTCAATGCCCATAACTAAGGGGCCGTTTACTAAATACTTACTTGGTAAGTGTTTAACGCATCAATTTCTTCATTGGATGAAGGACCAAGAATCTTATCGGGTAAGAGCGATGAGAAGGATGAAGAGTCTTTACCCGGTAAGTGAGGATGACGACTCTTACTCAGTAAATTGTTTCATTCGATAGGGTTTGATGTACTAAAATCTTACGCATCAAAATAAATGATAGTATTGACTTCTATTGGTAAACGTTTACCGGGTAAGCATTTGGATAAACGGCCCCTAAGAATCCCAAACCTATATGAATTCTAACTCTCACATTTCGGCTCTCAAATTCGAATACTAATTAATTTGTATAATCATATAATCCGGGACCAATTTTGCTACTACTTATAATCAACTTTATACAAAGAGACATTTTTAATATGATATAATAGTAAAATATGAAATTTTAGTGTCTGTTGATAAAAACTTGTGAAATAATTACAATTAATTAGTTAAATTTATAATTGCTCAACTGACTTTGATATTTTGAACAATTAAGCCTTGATATTTTTTGAATGGATTAATTTTATACTTATAAAACGAAAGATGTATACCAGTTCTCTCGTGATATTTTCAATATATCAGTAAAATACAACAAAACCAGTAAAACGAAAAATTATATTTTCTTAAATAAAATGAAAAAAAAAATTCAATTTACCATTTTTTTTTTAATTTCATAGTACAAACACGAGAATCGTTTTTCAAAGGCATGCACCTACCCCGTCAAATTAATTCCACATCAATTTATTGTTAAAATAAAAACAGTTATATTAATTATCTCTCATAGAACAAACGTAGTCCCTTGTTTTGAATCTTGTATACACATTAATATATATATATATATATATATATAATTTTTTATTAATATGGATATCTAACAAACTATGCGAGCAGACTAATTCCAGAATGACCATTTGGTTTGCAGATAGCCTGGAATCACCGCATTTGAACCTCTGTGGCCACTAGAGAATTTTATTTCTTCTTGGATTTGAACTTGGAACCTCTAGATACTTTTATCTTTTTTAATCAAGCTCAAACCAATTAGGCATAAACCCTTTAAAAAATATATATTATGAATTAAAATATGTAAATTTGGTGAAGAATTATACAATAATAAATTTAAACTCTATAAACTTAGCACAAAATTTTTTAAATAATATACGACTGGAATTTTTGTATCATCTTCATTATTTACATGGCTTGCTTTCCTTCCTTATTTCTGTTGTGTTGACTCCGTCTTTTCTCTGCACATGATTAATACGATTACAAGAATATAAATATGAATAAATTTATTTAATATATATATATATATATATATATGGATTAAAATTAAATGAAAACTATAAAAAGAATATAAATCTCGTGAGAATCGATTTAAAAATAAAATTTTATACAATTTTTTAATCAGATGTTGGGATTTAAGATATTGCTTCACATATATATTTATTTTATAATATAATAATTTCATATGTATTTGTTTCACCATATGAATATTTTTTATGTGTATTTTTCGTTTCATTAAGTGAATAAAAGAAAGTTCAACATATAATTTTTGTCATAAGGTGAAAACAAACATATGTAAAACAGTATATTAAGTCATAATTTTTGATCAAAAAAATGATATAAAAATATATTTTATATCGATTATCGTATATTTGTAACTTTTTTGTGGTTCTAAGTTGATTATCATCATACATATATACATGTATATATATATATATATATATATATAGATATAGATAATAAAAAAATACACTCCTTGTAATTAAATAAAGATTCAAACCTTGAAGGTCACCGCCACAGATATATCACCGGTGTAGGATTTGTCCTGCCGGACCACCCTGTATTTCCGGCTTCCGAGCTCCGCCTCCCCATCCTCCATCCCCAGCAAAACGACGTCCTTTACATGAATCCTACACACATTCGATCCGATATAAATCAAATATGCACCGTCATTGAGAAAACCTTATTCAATTCGACAAAAACTCGAGATTTCAACCCTTGGGGTCGCTCGGTTGGATTAAGACTCAATTTTTTTTGTAATTGTGGGTGTTAAAGTCTAGCGTGCATACACCTCGACTAATACCAAGAAGACTTGAAGATAAAAATCAGCCTGGACAGATCTACAGTGGTGCTAACTTATGGTCAAATAATGTCAACGTTTGAAATCTTTTCCCTATATTTGTTTTTTATAGTAAAATGGTATCACCGTTTGAATTTTTTTTGGGTCCATCCCTGATAACCAGCCGTAGGTAACCTGATCAAGAGACTTAAACCGACAACCTATGAGCGACAAGCACAAAGGCATGGGTTTGTTTCCCATTAGTTGACGATATTCGAGTCTACTCAGGCCACCAGAGGTTTTTCCAGACTGTCAACTTGAACGTAAACTAACCCGAAAACCCAGACACACTTATCAAACAAAAAACTCATCATTTCTAGTTCGATCCGCAATGACCACAAAACAGAAACATCTCTTCAAGCCCACAACAAGTAGTTAGGTTTTAATGTTCTTACGTAGCTTCACCAACATACGCATCATCGGAAAGCTTGTGTTTGTTCATCACATGAAACACGAGCTTTTCAGACGGCTTGTTTGATTCAGCTGCGTGGTCAACCTCGAACTCGAACTTCTGGTCCCATATGGATTTCTTCCCCTTCTCTACATAAACATTATTCATCCAATTCATATATCAATATCGACCCAATACAAGTATTCGTTCACACAAATTAGATCTCACCTTCAGCAACTTTGCTTATACGTTTTTGATCTCCATACTCGACACAGACGTACGGTTTATTAACAGCCGATGTACCGAAACACACTAAGCAACCTGAAAACAGACCAAAGAGCAATTAGCCTGACGATATATGGGTTACGAGCAGAGCTGAGCCATTAAGATCGAGCCTTAAAGAAGCTGAAAACAAATGCTTGCAGCGAATATAAGTTGGAAGAAGGTAAGTTTGATTGATATGAGTTGGATTGTTACCGAGAAACTTCTTAGCTCTTATGCCTTCGGAATCGACCAATATCACCTCTAATATGCCGCCACCTGTCATCGCTATTTCTGTATTTTTCTGCTGTTTTGTGTTAAGATGGAGTCTTTTCAACCAGTTATCACTGTTTTTAGAAGAAAATTGCAGGTTTGGAAGGTTACGAAGCTATGGGAGAGAATATATATATATATATATATGTATATATATATATATGTATGTATATAACGTCGAAGGAGGAAATTACGGAGACGGTGGTGTGAACGTGTAGGTGTAAGTCGTCTCGTTGAATAACATAAAGAAAGCCATCGGACTCCTGTGGCTTTTTTATTACTAAAAAGTAAATCTTTATTTAATAATTAATAGTGAGTAAATTACACATTTCATCCCTTTACTTAAACATAAATTATGGATTGGCTTCTTCAAACGAATAATAACAAATATAGTTACTTTTACTCTAGAATAACCATCTGCTGTTTTGCAGGTAGCCCGAAGTCACCACATTTGAACCTCTGTGGCCACAAAGAGACTTTTGTTTCTTCTTGGACTTGAATCTGGGACCTCCAGACAATTTTAACCTTTGGAGTTAAGTTTAAACCAATCAGACACCACCCTTGTGGTTAACCCCTACCAACTTTTGTAGCCTCCTCCTCGGACGGTTCCTCTCCCCCTAATTTGGTCTCCTCCAACTCTCTTCCCTTGAGTTCATGTTCGAACTCCGACCACCCTTCTGCAACTCTCGACCAAACCATGTTGGAGCCCTAGATCTCTCTTCCTTTGATTCCTTGTTCGGTCTCCTACGACCCACCATTACACATTGAAGAATCAAGGTATCAAGATATGGTTTCTAGTTCAAATATCAACATCGTCCGATCAACGCACCGAATTAGAGAGACACGATTGTCATAGTTTAGGGTTTAGATGAGAACTATCAAATCTATAAATTAGGTTGGGGTTAAAACTACATTCTAAATGTACCTTTGACTTTAGAATAAACCTTAAGTGACATCTTGAATTGGTTACGTTTGGTGCTATATAGTTAAGAAAATTAATTTTTTGGCAGCATTTCTTTACGCCTGTGAAGTGGGGAAGAACTTGGACCTCCAGTCCCTTTTAAATCTGAAAATTTCCCCTTTTTTTCATTTCTTCTTTCATCAACTCATTATTTCTCTCAAAATTCGATCCTTGATCTTTGGTATCACCATTTTGAAGGATTTAAGGGAATTTAAAGGGTTTGAAACTAGAGATCAAAGCTAGTGAATTGAAGCTCAAGATCCTTATCTTCTCCGACCATTTTCCTCAATTTTTTTTTTGATTAACCTGGATATCCAACCCGCTATGTGAGCTGACTAATTCCAGGCCGACCACCTGCTTTGCAGATAGCCCAGAGTCACTGCATTTGAACCTCTGTGACCATAAGGGGATTTTTATTCCTCCTTGGATTTGAACGACCTCCTGGTACTTTTGACTTTTTGAGCCAAGTTCAAACCAATCAGACACCACCCTTGTGGTTACCATCTTCCTCTATTGTTTACCTAGTGTTTAGGTTTTCCTAAAAATTGGTTTTCATGTTCATCCTAACCTTTCTAACCCTTTATTCATGTCTAAACCTGTTTTTTAGTCTCCCAGAACATCCCTCTTGATGTATTTTGCATATTTTTGGATTTTGACCAATTTAGAGTATTTTGGGAGATTCGGGTTTTTTTTTTACCTTTTTGCTAGAAAATAATGGATCTTTAGGAATTGGTTATAAAAGTGTATTTCAAGTACATGAATGTCATTTCGGGATTAGAATCTTACCATTTAAGTATATTTAATTTTGTTCATCTTTAAGAAAGCTCTACGTAAAATGGTCACAAGTTGGAAAAGTTAAGTTATTAGTATTTGGGGGATGAACCGTTACGAGGATCTTTGTAGATTTGGAATTTAAGTTAATATTGGAATCTTTTAGCTTGCTTGATAGTTTTGAAAAGCTTTCTTGAAAGTACTTGCTTGGGGATCTCAAATTACACTACAAAAATGCAGAGTATTAGCGAGGGAAATTTCCCTCGCAGATCCGTTGCTAAAAGGGTTATCCGTCGCTGATACTCCGTCGGTCAAATGCTCGTATGTAATGCTATCAGCGAGGAATGTTAGCGACATATTTGCGAGGGATACTTTCAACGACGGATCAGCAAGGGAATATATCTGTGACGGATCAGCGAGGGATCTTTCAACGACTATTCAGCGAAAGAACTTTCAGCGACAGATCAGCGAGGGAACTTTCAGCAACGGATCAGCGATGGATCTATCAGCGACGGATCAACGAGGGAACTTTTAGCGACGGATCAGCGAGGGAATTTTCAAGGACTTTCAGCGACGAATTTTCCCTCGCTAATCCGTCGCTAATTTGTATTAATCTAAAAAATAATTTTTTTGAAATTACATAATTCCTATATTTATTTATACAAAACCTGAAAATAGTATAACAAACCAAAACTGTGAACAAATTAAAACTAACAAATTCATACGATATAAAATATCCAACTCATACAATTTAAAATATTCAATTCATACAATTTAATCTTCAAATACATACAATCTAACTACCGCGAGGTGGGAGATGGGGGAAAACGTATCCTGACTGCCGCATTGGATCATTCATCTAGAGTCATGTAATTTAGACTATAATGCATTGGATCCATAAGCATATGTGTCACTAAGCGAGGAATTTTGATGTTCTCGTCTTGGGGCCATAAGGTTTAGTTAAATGAGGATTTTTTTATGTTCTCAGCTTGGACCCTTTCGGTTGTGACAAAGGAGAATTTATGAGGTTCTCTTCTTGATATCATTGGTTTGGGACAAAGGAGTTTTCTTGTCCTTGCTTTAGAAACTTTGATTTTAGGCAAGTTGGGAGTTTTGATGTTCTCAGCTTGTAACTTGAGGACTGACTAAGTAAGGAGTTTTGATGTTCTTATCTTAACCCTAAATAAAGTAATCCCCAAGGCTCGTATTATAGGGATGATTTACTCGTCAACATCTTGATGTGGCTTACTTGGTGTTCCGCCACTTGATGGAAACGGGTCTCCCCTGAAACCAAAAGGTGTTATTTCTTGATAGTGTATTATCCATAATATCGGTTTTGTTTTGGGTATGACGTGTATCCATACTTTATGGTTTTGGGATATTAAACATTATCCATATTTTGGGTGACTATTGGGATTTAGTTTCATGTTAAATGAGTACTTTGATTTATAAGTTTTCATAACGAAAATGGTGGTTTTCGGAAAGATGTTATTTTGATATTCAATACCTTCCATTTTGGAAATTGTGATTTAAATAGCATTCCCTCCGTTTTTACCGTTTTATATAAATGATTAAAACTGCTTGAACTTACTAGGCGTTAAGCCTGACCTTTTTTTTTATTTGTCGGCATGTGCATTAAATTCTTGTTTGGGAATGGTACTAGTGACATCATGAAGAGTGAAGTGCTAGTTAGATGGACGAGATGGATTTAGTTGTTCGGATACGTCTTCTATATTTGGAGATAGCGGCTATTGTTGGGTTTTGGTGACACCCGCCTTTAATCTATACTCGGTGTAAGGTTGGATTATTGGTTATTGATATTAAACCTTAGATTGTCATGAAAGGGTTTTGTGTTTTGGTTTTTTCCTTCCGAAATGGGTTTTATTGTTGATTTTGTTCTTCACAGAGGGCTTATCTTATTAATTTTATTCTTCAAAGATGGCTTAAGTTGTCAATTTTGTTCTTCAGAAAACTTGTTGATTTTATGTGTTTTTGGTGACGGGAAAGATGACCCAAGTGGTTGGAGAACGAGGGACTCAGGGGAGGGTGAGGCTGGTCGGAGAACGAGGGAGGGGTAGCAATGTTTGAGGTTTTTTTTTATGTAGGTTTATCATGTTTTTCCATGACTTCACGATCTTGTGCAAACAAATTTGAACATGTATAACAAAAAAATCATTGAAGATATGAATGGAATGACCAAAATACCCCTCATATGAAGTGCATGTGAGAGATATAACAACATATCTAACGGAGTTAAGGCAAGGGACCCAATCCGTAACAAAGCTGAAACCATAATAGTACTTGTAATTATTTCGTTTCCAGGACCCAATCCCTAAATTCTGATATAACCACACAGGAACAAGATTTGTACAATTTTGGTCCTTATACAGTTTTCATCCCTACAGTTTTTAAAATACATTATGACCATAGTGATTTACAAAAGCGTTCAAATTTGGTCCCTCACTTTAATTGTATTAAGTTTAAGCTGTTACGTAAGAGGTATTTTTGTCTTTTTAGGTTTTTATTTTGTTTCCTATTATCATAAATCTTTTTTGATCCTCCACTAAAACAATGACATAATCCTACACCTTCAAACTTCTGGCATCTTTTCCAAATCCAAACACCAAAATCAAAGTCAAAATCAAAATCAAAATCAAAATCAAAATCAAAATCCAAATCCAAATTTCAAAATCAAAATCAAACTCAAATTCAAATTTCAAAATTAAAATCAAACCCAAATCCAAATTTCAAAATCAAAATCAAACCCAAATCCGAATCTGAAAATTAACATCAACATCAAACCTAATCCAAATCCTAAACCGTAATTGATGAAACCCTAATCTAAATAACCCCCTCACCTGCCTTTTCCCATTTTATGTGTTGCATTTATCAAGGACACCATTGTTGGCGAAGAAATATAAAGAAGTTGCAAAGAGTGGATGGTACATGTGTCATAGACAATGAGGTTCTGCAGTGGATGGAAAGGCCTCGTGGGGGAGGTTTTGCACTATAGGGGGTTAGGGTCGTGGGTGAGGTTTTGTATCGAAGGGGGTTAAGGTCATGGGTGAGGTTTTGCACCTCTTGTATTTTCGAAATTATAGAAACGAAAACTATTATAACCAACAAACCACAGGGACCAATTATAATTTTTACCAATGACATTGACCGTGGTCTACCAAGTCTCCTTAAGAGAAGGTTTTCTAGAAACTCGAGTCAGAGGGCCGAGACAAATGGCTTCGAGAATGAAGTATCTCTTTTTAATTTGTATTTTAAAAACATATTCTTTAAAGCTACATTTAAAAAAATTATAATTTAAAAAAAAAGTTTATTTAAAAATGTGTAATTTGAA